ATTTCATAAAGCCTTAGGCATGATTATCTTACGCGGATAGAAATCCCCTTATACCTTTTATCAAATTTCTATTGCTGATTATCAATAAAATGTATAACTCAACTAATAAGCAGACACCTTGCAAAAAGTTAATGATGATGTATAAATGTTAACATATCCCGTTTATGCACTCTTATAGGACCTATGTGGCTTGTCTTATGGAATGTAGTTATAACGGTAGGGCTACCATATCAAAAACTTGAAAAGGAGCACATTTCATTTGAGGCTTGGAGAGTAAGGAGGGCAATGATTCCTTTTCCTAACGTTAAAGGAGGACAATTGGTTTTTATCAAACGTTTTAATAATATGTGCGCTATCACAAAATTCATGATTTGCAAAGGTTCAATTGAGATTGTTCATAACTTGTAGTCGTAGTCAATTCAATTCATCTCATCGTTATAAAGGGCGAACACGAAATTATTGCGACACATTCAACAGTGTGTAACTTTTTTACCATTGGGTAAAAATCGACCAAATTTTGCACACTTTCTCATTGATGTGTATTGTGTACATGCTGTCAAACTCGAAGTCGTGTTTTTCGATTCAACGAAAATGGAGGTGAACCAACGCGAGTTGAGAGAACAAATTCTTTCCAAACACCTGGAATTTCCTGACCTGTCGCACCGGCAGTTGGGAAAAATGTTGAACATTCACCATTCAACCGTCTCCAGAGTGTTGAAGCGGTTCCAGGAGCGGTTGACGTTGGACAACGGCAAAGGAGCTGGAAGAAAACCGGGACCGGAGAACAAAAAGACGGAGGGAAAGGTGAAGCGGATGATTAAAGCAAATCCCAACGTCTCAAGCCGTGATTTGGCTAAAAAGATCGGCATGTCGCAGAGCTACGTCCAGAATGCAAAGAAGAGAGCTGGACTACATACATACAAGGTACAGAACTTCCCAAACCGCGATGAGCGGCAACAATCGACGGCTAAAACTCGGGCACGGAAGCTCTACGAGAAGATGCTGACAAAATATGGCTGCTGTGTGATGGACGACGAAACGTATATAAAAGCCATGTTCCAAAGGACATGAATCCGCCAAACTGTCCGGACCTGCGCCCGGTGGAGCAGTACTGGGCAATAATGAAGCGGGAACTTCGGAAGAGCAAGAAGACAGTCAAAGACGAGAAGCACATGTTAAGAAAATGAAAAAAAAAAACTGAGAAACTGGTACCGGATGACACTGTAAAGACTTTGATGGAGGGCATCAAGCGAAAATGCGTTCAATTTTACACTCAAGGCTCCATCGATTAACTTTTGTTTTGATTTTTGAAGTAAATATATGTATAAAACTACCCTAAAATTTTGGTTTGATTCTAAACATTATAAGAAAATTGGCATGACATTTTCGGTGTCGCAATAATTTCGTGTTCGCCCTTTACTTCTGGAAAATGCATTAAACTAGCGTTCATAATTCTTTTTTGATACTTGGAAATGATCTAAATAGTCTAGCTGATTTGCAAGAAAACTAAAGCCTTACAGCCTTAAAACCATCCCAAATTTTATCATGTTCAAAAATCAGGATGCATGTCATCGCTGATTGAAACCAACATAGAACATCTAAGCAACCTGTTAATTTTACCATTGATTCAGCACAGGACTCTAAAGGCTGGCGCACAATGGATAAGTTTTCGGGTTTTTTGACAGATAATACATGGGCTAACTGTCAAAAAACCTGAACACTTATCCATTGTGCGTCGGTCTTAAGGCCGCTGCCATAGTAGGAGCGAAGAGGTGCAAAAGAATTCCTATTATTGATATTATTTCTTACATTGGATTTTACGATTCGCGTGCCTCTTCGCTCTCAGTATGGTAGCGACCTAAACAAAATTTTGTTTAATACCTAAAATTCCATAAAACCAGAACGTTAAAATCAAACAGACTTACAAAAAATAAATTAAAATGTTCAAAAATCCCGCTGGTGTTGATCATCCGATTTTCGAGAAATTGTATGGCAAAATTGATTCCTGGTTTGTCTGAAAAAAATCTGGTAGAATAGCAGGTTTATTTGAAAATTTTCCATCTGTCAAATATACGTTAAAATTCTCGAAATGGATCGCAGCCTAAACGTAGGGGGGTTGACAGCTGTAGTATACTCCTAATCCCTCCATGAAATGGCATTTGGTATATAAGTTGCGACATAATTAAACAAATAAGCTCTGCAAACAACGCTCTTTGAAAACAATTTTATGAATATGTTACTGGAAAAAATGCAATGATTAAAAAGGAGGACATTTTCGGGTAAAAGGAGGATGTAGAAAAATTATTGAAAAAAGGAGGACATGTCCTCCTTTAGGATACCATATAGTAACCCTAGTTATAAGGCTGATGTTTTGGCAAAAATGTATATGATTAAAATAATTAATTTTCATTTCGTGTACCATTAGTGCTTCTTATACAGCCATTGCATAGCAAAACGATATAGTGGCTCTCAGTATTGCAAAATATTAGAACCGATATTTTTATGTTGTCACTAGGGTGAACATTTCCATGTTAGAGTGGTTCGTTTTTATTCGATTTTTTTTTTTTTCAAAAATTATAACATTTGAACCAGTAAGCCAATTTTAAAGATCAAAATATCAAATGAAATAATACAGCAAAAGAGAGGTTATCTTCCATTTAATTCCACTTAATTAATGGGATGAGTACTTAAGGGGGTTAGATTTTGATAAGTCCTTTAGTGGGAATGACACTGATGAAGACTGCACATTGTAGTGGAAATACGTATCTGTCATGCATACTCAAATTAATTAAGTGGAATTAAATGGAAGATAACCCTTTTATGCTGTTTTATTTAAGCATTCCGCTAACAACCCAATTTCATTACTTCATCAAATGAAAGGTAATTAAAAATACTTTTTGAAAAAAAGTAATGATATTAACGCAGTTTGAAACAATTATTTTAGCTATTAAAAGCCCATAATGTTATTCATAACAGTGTCAAAAAGTGACACTTTTCAGTAAAGAGTGCTAAAAACTGTTGTATGCAACGGGTTGCAAAATTCAATTTTTTCAACACTAGCAAACCAAAAGTATATTAAATTGAATTTTAGTTGGACATACTATCAGTTGGGCGTGCTATCAGTAGGCCATGCAGACAGTACAGTGGTTTTTTAAGTTTTTTTATTTCGTGTTCTGTGTACGCTTTCGACTATACAACCAAGCTTTTTATTTATAACATTGTAGAACGACGTACACACTTGCTTCGTTTCTCTACAATTCCCGTTCAGCAGAAAAATCATGCGAAATCATATTATCGTACTATGAGCGCTTCATTTTCGCTTTTAGTCTAACCATAATCCGAAGCATGGAAAGAGCAGTGGAGAAATGTTAATCGCAACATTCATTATTCGTGTCCAGTTGACATCCTTTTTCTATTTTTTTCAACAAATTTAATTTTACTCACTAATACACTCTAAATTTTCCAGTCTCCAATTTTCTTGCATTGGACCACAGCTCGGTATATCTCATCATCCGTAACATCCTGCGATGATGAATCCAACATAATTGTAAACAAATCTTTCATCCCCCGATTGGGTGCATAACTCGTGTTGAAAAAATCTTATTTTTGCAACTTGCTGCATAAGTGTAGCTATTTTCTATCTCTAGATGCACTCTAAACCAAGTCAAAAGGACGGTTTGCAGATTTTTGTGCCCAACTTTGGGCCATGAAAAAAAAAATTACACGAGAATTTTCTTCAGCAAAATAGACAAAATATTATGTTTTGAGTTTTTTTATATCTTGTTGCAAAATTTATAGAAAAGCCAGGACGTAAGTGTTTTAATTCGGGGCGGTGATCTTCCCCCTAAAAATGGAAAACAAACGGTCTGAAAAATTAAATTGATGAAAACCCAAAAATACAAATCCCATACTTTCGAGCCTTTGCAGCAGCTCCAATATAAAGCTTAAGCTGAAAATGAAACACCTCGTTTTTACAACAGATTCAATAAATGGAAACTGACAGTAAAGCCAGAAGTATACAAACACACGCAAAAAAAACATATTAATCAAGAAAACCGTAGCTTCCCATTATACGAAAACCATAAACCAACCGGACGGTAAATAATGAACCATGATGACCAAATGCTGTTCACACCACATTCATGAGTGCTGGGAGCATCCAGAACATGGGTTTTTATTGATTTTGATGAAAAATTATCCTGAATGTATAGATAAATAATAAATTGTACGAAGCGTCATCAAGATAACTGCTTTCATAAATTATGTCTCATGAAAAAATGTGCATACTACCAAGTTGTGAACATGTACAGTAGCTGCACTGCTATACTTTCGTAGATACATGCAACAGCGAACGGCAGAATGCAAGGTCGATCGGTGCTGTTTATTCAACATTAAATACACACAGCAGTAGTAGCACTATTGCCGTGTACGTGCAATTGAACCGTTCGAACCATTTTCGTTCCCCATTCAGAATTGCAATTCAAACATTTTCCTTGTCACTGGTAAGTGCTAGACAAATTGATCGTCATATCACGCCAAATGTTGAGAGGGTGAAACGTGTCTTGTTTTATAGCATTCAGATCTGCTGATCTGACCCGGCTCAAAACAATATCTCAAAATCACACAATCGATGAAGGTAGCATTTCCGATTCATTATTGCACCAATTTCAACCGTCCCGTTGAGACGGAATAATGGCAAACATTCTTGTCCCGATTACAGAAGAATTCCCATTGCTCGGAGCTATCAATTTACATGTGCAGGTATTTATTACTCCCGAACGTACCAGAATTATGAAGTTCATAGTGCAACGAAGAACTCCACCCTCTTATGCCACCTTCTTCAACTCCCTACAATGATGACGAATAGTGCACTACAGCTAAAACTCTTCACCAAAAGCACTCCATTAGCATTAGCTCGTTCACTCGCTCGCTCTCTAGTCAAAAGTATGCCGACTCAAGTACCCAAACACACACGAGCATTCTTCCATGCAATAACGTACCTCCCTAGGGTATCCTCCACTAGCCGCCACCGCCGTCTTCGTTGTTGTTGAATTCCTGCCACCGTCATCGTTCGTCATCGATTCCGGTCCAATCGCCCGGAGCAGGAATAAAAATTTCAGTACCTGCTTCCAAGCATCCCGTTGCTGTGCGACGTCCTGTGCATTGTTGCTAAACTTACGTCGCCCGAATCGCTGCACCAGTTCGGCAACTCGTTTGACCACAGCCGTGAAGCGACGCCGCTGTTCGTCGGCGGGTACCTGGTACGTACCGTTTCCGCCAGTACCATCCTGGCCAAAGTACAGCTTTAACGAAAGCGCTTGAAGCGGCCTTAAGAGCTGTTCGGCGATGGTATCGCAGGCGTTGGCACTCATTCCACCTGGCTTGCGAGGTTTAGGATCTGTTTTTTTGGAGGAAAAGAAAACGGTCAAGATAAATTTTCGCTATAACTATGTGGCCTTGTTTGATTTAGTGCGGTAAAATGTTGAAAATTTAATGAAGCGTAAAATATGTAGCATAATTATCGCAAATTGAGCACGGTTCTCTGCTTCATGTTGATTGTCGGTTGTAAGTTTTCAACTAGACTTGTATCATTATTTTGTTTTGCCCGAGTGGAAACTTGCAAGAGTAAAATCCGTTTTATGACAATATAACGATACCTAATTATTGATTACTTACGGGTTTGATCATTCAACCCGTCAATTGATCTGTTAATCGCAAGCAAATATTATATAAGTTGCATGTACCTCAGTTTTAGTGTCACTTGAGAGGTATAAACAACTGTCATAACAGACGATATTCTGACTACCGGAATAATTTTTAATAATGTAAACTAAATGTGGTTTGAGATGGTTCAGTTTTGAACCATAAATATGCACCATACGTCTCCATCGTCGGTTAGTTGACATAACCTTTTTCTCAAAATATAATAGGGTTTTTGATCTAATTTCCGTCCTACTAAGCACTCTTCCCATGGACATGGAGGTTGACGGTACTGAAGCAAAGGGTTATGTTTAATTTCTTTATATTTGCAACGATGATGATTTCCCATAGTGACACATATCACCTTCTTAATGCTTCAGTATACCTCAAACGATTAATTCTTGGTTGTTAATAGAACTTCCTTGATGCAATCGGCTGCTTCATGCAGACTGAGCAATTCTGATTATAGTATCAGATTTGTTCTGTATACAGAGGAACTGGGAGGGCTTATTAGAAACTTCTCACCAATAAAGTAATGACCTTCTAGTAAATTTTGCATATCATTTTATTAATATTTTATTTTATTTAAGCATATTATTTTTGTTACAGTCAATTAGCATTAGCATACAATACAAGAGATTTAATATTACTTGCTCGGTTTTGCGTAAAATAATCAATATGTATTTTGCTTGTAATTACCTTTGATTTTTTTTTTTGTGATTTCAAAATTTTCCTAGTTTGGTTAGAAGTTTCGAAGCTAACACATGTCCACAGGCCTAATAGAAAGATAGACAGACAAAGCGTATCATGAAGAATAGTTGCATGCAGGGTTGCTTCCACTCACTTTCTATAGATGAGTGATTTTCGGAGTTTTGAATTCGTTAGATGTTGTAATGGAGGTTTGTGTTGTTGGATGCGGGATGAGATTGGAGGGCGGGCATAGAGCCTGTCAATTTCGCTTTCAGAGTGTCGCAGTCAGCGGTTTTATGATTCGTGAGCGCTCGCGATTCGTAGAATCGTTGATTGTGACTGCCAGTGGATTTGGCGGGTTTTGTGTGTCGGACGCTTGCTTTTTGGCCTTTTCTTGCGTCTAACATGTGCAGAGTATCATTATAGCGTCTAATGGTTTTGAGATTCCTGGTTGCGTGAAATATACTTGTGAGAATATCTTTTTGAGATTTTAGTAGTCACGTTTTGTTTGTAGTTTATATGTTATTTCTTTCATGTAATTATCGTAAATAATAGTTATTCAATAATAGATAAATCATCCATATATTCAATAATAAATTTACGAATGACTATAATTTGGATACCTAACAATTGGACAGAATCACTAGCAAGAATAGGTTGTGTTCGCCTTCGAAAATATCGATTCGTTTTTTCAGGGTTGTAGTTTTGGTTTTCATCAGTGGCCCGGCTCTGATTGTGAACGATTTAGGTAGTATTTTTAGGTAACTATTTAGCTTTTAGCACAACTTTGCTACTACGAATCCACAAAAGACATTAAATTGGAGGCGGATTCTGGTACGGAATTACAGGCTGCTATTCTGAGCAACTTATCTTCATAAAATTAAAAATTACATTTAGGTATTAATTAGCAAATATGAATAGTAGTTAACTTTAACATAATTTTGATAAAACAATCATTTCATCCAGTTCACTTTAAAACAAACAAGTATGAAAGGAGATTGCTTAGAATAAAGATAAAAGTAATAAGCGCAATATTAAACGACGTTAAATTTGAATCTGATACGGTAGGCCATATAACAGAGTCGATAGCCATTGCAAATCAACCATCTCTACCTGCTTATTTTCCTAACTTTCACTATTATTGCTGTTACTCTGACTATCCCCTATGTTCAACAGCTTTCCTTACTATCCGGTATCGTAAACAGGATTCATTTGACCCCTGTGGTTATTATTCTGTGATGCCAAATCTATACCTCTACCCTGGTGCAGTATGGACAGCGATTTTTCGCTGGTGACTTGGCCCTATGACCCCCTTCTGTGCTTGAAAATGAAAAATGAATTTCCGTCCTACTAAGCACAACCCGTGCTTTACCTCTCTTTTCTGAACGAGTTTAAACAAAAAATGAAATATTTCTGTCAAAGATCACTTCCAAATTCATTCACCTTTCCATACGTACCATTGGATTTGATAAAGAGTCACAAATTGTTGAGATATTGTTTAAAATCTAACACTGCTTCTTGATTCTAAATTCGTTCTACGAGTTTCAATTCCTTCCTAACGCATTGAAACGCCATTAGATTTTCTTCGTCCTACGGATAAACGTAGAAAAAGAGGATTCGCTAGGAGCGCTTCTTTTGTTTTCAGAACAATGAGCGTAAATATTCATATAATGCGCTCTAACTGGATTTATGTTTTAGCTAATGAACTTACGCATCAGAACAATTCTTATATTATCTATTGATATTATTGATCTTTTCTGATCGATAGAACGGAAATGGGCGATTACGACGAAATAGTGCTCTACCCTATGTTGAAACCTTTACAAATTTGATTGTTATGATCAGAAACGCGAAGAGTGGGTGGGACAACAATTGTGACATGTACTACGCACAAAAATACCTGGGGTGACAAAAGATGAATTCTCGTGTGACTTAAGGTAACGCATGATGGATTTTGGACCTGCTAGAAACTAGGACCGGGGTACCCGAAACATGGGCGGATGTGGCCAGTATAGCCAACCGGTCAGCACTCGGGTTTTTTTAAAGTTTCCATTGGGACGCCATATGTGATTAGCCACGGTCCCTTTCAAATTGTCTCATTATTCATAAACGGCCCTCATATTTGAGAAGCGTTAAAGTTTGCTTTCTTTTCGAAAGATTCACAGCGTGACCGGTCCATTCAAAAGTAGGAACCCACCTATACAGGGTGTTCGATTCCTTAGTGCAAATATTTTAAGGAGTGATTAGAAGATCATATTTGATGAAAAAGTTGTTCTACGCATATGATCAAATCTCAAAGATTACTGAGTTATTGAACTTTTTCTGTGTTGGCATAGGCCATAAATTGGCTCTAACTAAAAAAATATGGTATTTAGCACAAAATTATTGTCTCTAATGGACAGCTTCATAAATTTCCTACTTACGGTCCGTTTAGACTATCTCATTTCTTGGTCTGATTTTGACCGCCGCCATAATGGAAATTCTGCTTGAATTTACTTTCGACATACTTTGTCGAACCCCTGGTGTTCACACTGCTTGCACATGTCGAAAGAACTGTCAATTTAGATTTCAAAACAAAACTGTATCAGGAATCAAAAGTACATAAATACTTCCATCATGAATTACCGGAAAATTGCTCTAGCTTCGGTAGGCGTATTAGCTTTTATTATTTTAAATAAAATGAGAAGGAGGAACTTTGTGGAGCTGAAAGTCTCGCTAATAAAGATAACCTAACTTAACCTTTGTGGAGTATCATATCCCAAGTAACCAAAAGTTCTGATAAAAGGCTATTCGTGGCTTAAGCAGCTTGGTTGAAGGTGGTCTATAGAGTTCTAAGCAACCTCATTTATAAGTCGTTATAAGAACTTGAGAGTTTCGGTACCATAATTGAAGATAATTCTAAGCAGCTTCTGGCGGAACTTGAACGGAAGTTTTAGAAAATAAATAAAAAAAGGTTTTTGTCCTCTACAGCAATTCTATATTTAGTTCGCACTTTTATGAAAGTTATATCTAAAGGCAGGTATTAATGTGCATTGATTTATTAGCATTAGTAGTAGAATTGGAGCTGTTTGAAGAATTAAACCCAGTCCTTCTGCGTGAGAGCCCCAGCATAAACCGCTACGTCATCTGAGATATATTAAAGTGAGCTGTTGTCCCGCCTACTGTTGGAGTTTTCAGTGCCAGCTGACTGACTTGAATACGAAACACAACACCTTGATGAATGGTAGAATGTTGATGCACTGCATAAATAGGGGAAATGCAGGTAATGTCGGCCTTAGTGTCCCTAATTTGGCCCATACATAAATTCAGCAATCGACTAAATTTTCAATAGCAACCAAAAATATCAATTAGTAACGTCCCAATAACGCGTTCATCTAGATAAAATTGATAAATAGCAGCTTTTAAGCAATGGGCCCAATCTTAGATCCATAGGCCAACATTAGAGACATTTCCCCTATAAGAATTATGATTTATTCAGGCCACTGATAATTTCACTTGTGCGGCTTGAGCTTGAAAGTTCTGTCGGAACTTTATTTGAACTTTATGGAACTTGAAGGTTTTTTCAGAATTTTATTCGAACTTTATGGAACTTGAAAGTTCTGTCGGGACTTTATTCAAACTTTATGGAACTTGAAACTTCTGTCGGAACTTTATTTGAACTTTATGGAACTTGAAAGTTCTGTCGTAGCTTTATTTGAACTTTATGGAACTTGGAAGTGATTTTAATCGTTGAATGCGGAATTTTTGGATACTTGGGCATTGTCAAAAAAACCTGAGTTTTTGTCCGCAGCTGCAAATACCTTGCCAGATCATAAGAGTTCTTGCAAATTTATCGGAAAAAACGAATTTGAACTTGCTAGGGACATCACCTCGACCAGTGGCTTTAAAGAAGTTTTGTCCGGGAAGCTGCCCTAAAATCTATTTTCACGTACGTTTCGTCGTCCATGAGGATGCATCCTTCGTATTTTGTAAGAACCTCATTGTACAACTTCCGGGCACGTCTTTTGG